TGGCTCAGAGATCTATGAATCGCTTTCTACATGGTGCAGGCTCTCTGGTGCTGCAGATACAGACACATTTAAGACAACAGAGCCTCCTACAAACCGAAAGGCTGCAGGGTAACCTCTAGGGACAATCTTCCTATCTTGTTATACGTGCAGCTGCCTGAATAACGTATGTGAACATGGACAGCATCATGCATTACTCTCTGAAGAGGGCAGAACGGGGAACGGGTCTGAACCACGTGAGAACACCTCCTCTAACCTCAATTGCTCCAGCAGGTCACATCAATATTTCCCTGGAACTTTGAGACTTCAAGGAGACCAAAGATATTGAGAAAGACTGCCAAGAATTTAAAGGGAGAACTCTTTGAAGAGCCAACAGTGGGAATGGAGAAATGCTTCCTGGCATTTTAAAATGTCTTATGCTATTGAAAGAAATTATCCATTATCTTGAAGTGTGCACTTGACTGAGTCTGCACTTAGAGAAACATTTGGAGAATTTTAAAACATCTTTTTTTTAAGGAAAAAAAAAAAGAAAAGAAAACAGGAGGCCAGTGAAATAATACAGTAGATAAGTGCAGTATTAGGTTTTAGACAGAAAATGCTTAAGAAAAGTTCACATATGGAGAAATTAATGCTATTTTCCATGTTCTGAACATTACTAGACAAGACGACCTCTGTATACACATTGTAGGAGACAAATATTACCGCCTTTAATACCTAGCTACCTGCTGGACATACAGTTTGTATCTTTCTATAAAAACAAACACATTTCTCAAAAACAGGCTCAAAACTGGGCAATAAGAAATGACCCAAGAATTAATTAACTAAATAGAAGACTGAAGTAAATAAAGAAAAAATTATCCTATCAAAATAAAAGAAACACGATTAAATTAGGCTCCAAAGACCCATGAGGAACTCATAAAAGGAATAATATGCACTTACCTGCTTTTTATTCTTTCATGATTTAATTTCTAATTTTATTCACTACTATCTGATAATTGCATGAAACACTTTATTCTAACCACGGGCAATTTAAACTATTTTAATTTTTATTTCAAGGCCATGAGACAAAGGAACCTATTTATTGCTTAAGGGGATTTTTTTTAAAACAAAAATTAAAGCTTAATCTTTCATGTTTTAAAGCCAAGACTATTTAAAATCATTTATAATAATGCTGTAGGGAGACTTTTTCTTAGTATGCAAAATTGAAAAGATAAATTTACAATTATGAAAAAAATTAATAGTTTGGGGATTAAATTGTCCCTTTCCTTTGTAGATGAATTTGTCTGGAACTTAAGAGACATATTTAAACACAGGATAAATTTAAACCTGGTGTAGAAGTGAGAAGATGAGGCTTCATGTATTTTACAGTATGGCTGTTCATGGTACAGACAGTGAGCCCACTTCACTCGCATTTTAAAAATGTGTAACAGCACTAGTCCTGCGATGGATCCTAACACTACTTTATAACTGATCACCCCGATGAGGAAGAGAGCCAAGAACGTTACTAACACTACCAACCACATTTTCTACATCTCTGACAAAGTCCCTGATGGAACTTAGCCAAGCACATCTACTTTTACACTAAAAAATAAAAAATATAGTTTTTCCTTAGAAGATGTAAATAGTTTTGCTGCCACACTTAAAGGTTCTAATGGAATCCTGGCTTTTATGCAGAGCATTCTCTAGGAGGGAAAAACCGCTTTTGGTGATCCTGAAGTGCATGCTGCTTCAAGAAGGCAGGGAAGGAAGGACATTGCTAATGGGACATTTTGACCACAGAGCAGGATGAAGGCAAATACAAAATGTCTTCATATAATTAAGACTGCCTTCTGGCAAGCAGACCATCTTCCTAGTCTGAGCACCCTTCATTTCAATTCAAAGATAAAGGCGCCCACGGGTTTCCTCTATTCTTGCCTAGAGATGCCTGTGCACTATGTCCTCTTAGTTGAGTAGATCATGTGTTGAGTGTATTTCCTGTCTATCCTAACTGCTTTTTTTTTTAATGTAGTAATAATTTGAATTAAAATAAAAACAATCAAAAAGAAAAAAAAAAAGAAGGTTCAAATAAAATTCATAGCTAGGCATGGTGGCACATGCATTTAATCCAGCACTTGGGAGGCAGAGGCAGGTTAGCTCTGTGAGTTCCAGGCCAGCCAGGGACATCCAGGGAGACCTTGTCTCAAAACCCCAAAAGCACAATACAAAATAAAAAACTCATGATTTTCAAAATACTAGATGGAACAGCATTAGGGTTTGTATGTGAAATACCTCCTCTGGGCTCATATATTGAGAGCATGCCCTCTAGCTAGTGCCCTAATTTTGTAAGCCTGCAGTAACTTCTGGAGCTGAGATCTACCTAGAGGAAGCAGGTCACTGAGGGCACATTGTTAAAAGCTGTGTCTTGCCATGGTCGCCTTCTGTATTTTGTCTTTACTTCCTGTTGCCATTAGGCAAAGAGACTTCTCAGCTACATACTCTCACTAACAGTGAGGTTTCTTGTGATGGGCATAAACACAGTGCCAAATGACGGGGGACTAAACTGAAACCACAAGCAAAGCAAGTTAGGTCAAGCATTCAACCTTTCTGCCACCGTGATGGGAGAGCTAACACAAATGGCCATGGATCCACTAACATTGGCCTGTGTTCTTCTCTTTTCTTTTTTGAGACAAGGTTCACTATTTTCTCTGGCTGTCTTAGAACCCATTATATACCCCACGCTGGCCTGGTCTTACAGAGGTGCAAGTCACAGAGCTCTATCTGCCACTGCCTCCTCAAGTGCTGAAATTAAAGGTATGAGAACACATACCCAGTTAAGCCTTACTGTTTCCACCCCCACCCCCATTCCTGGCAGTAATACTATCCTTGCTAGTTTACTATTCAAGCTCCCCCTCCCGGAACCTGTCCTTTTCTGACGACTACATGGTTTCTTTCCTTCCATTCTGGCTTTGGCACAAATGCTACCTTCTGATAGAGGCTGACTTTGTTCAGATCCTTCACTGCAAACCTTATTCTGTTCTATCAGTAGCAACAGCCTTATCTCATCTAAATTAACAGTTCGTTCTTTATTTTCTGAGGTCTCTCCTGAAAGACATGAAGACTCCTAAGTATTATGTATTTCTGGCTTACATGCCATACTTCTCCCACAAAGGTAGTATCTAGCATTGTAATATACCTTATAAATATTATTTACTGAATTATAATATTTTCACACTAATATATTTTAAGGAAATCACTGTTGTTTTCATAAGGGAGAAACTAATGTCACAGATGTTTGTGATACTTGATACTGACTGTCAGCTCAACATGATCTAGAACCCCTTACTAGACAAACCTTTAGATGTGTCTGTGAGGCTAGTTCCAGAGATAGTTCCCTGAAGAGGGAAGACCTACCCTGAATGTGGGTTGTACCACACTCTGATGTGGAGGAGCCGCCAAATAAAGAGGAGAAAGTGAGCCGAGCTCCAGCTTCATCTTTTGCTTCAGACTGTAGAAGCAAATGTGGCCAGCAGCCTCAAGGCCCTGCAGCTGTCACTTCCCAACCATGATGGACTTGAACCCTTGAACTGTGAGCAAAATAAAACTTTTTCTCCACTTAAGTTGTTTTGTCATAATAAGATAAGTAGTTAATATAGGGTCATTTAAGGATTTATTCAGATGCATTTGTGCATCAAATTAAAGATATACTTTCTTGAAAAAAAATGTCAAAGGTTGATTTTTCCAGGAGTACTATTTATTCTGTAAAATGAAGCCTCTACAGAGTAATGGTGTATTTTAAAAATACTTGAAAGAATTAAATCACCATAGTTATGGGCTGTTGTCTACAAATTTTAGCCCATTAGGGATAAATCCAGGAGATTCTCATAAAAATTGCTCTCTAGATAAACAATGTTGTATAAAGACCCACGGCCTAATTTTCCCTTTAGTTTTACAGGTTCAATGGACACGCTTTGAAAATAAAGTCAGAAGTCAGAATTCTCGAGAAAGCTGGTGGGTTATATGTGGTAACTTTCATTTCCTATTTTACTTGCACAATTACAATAAAGTTCTGCCACGATTTACCTATCCATCTGGACAAAGGTGAAAGAAGGTCATAGGATTTTCAAGAAGATAGAAGTAAGATAGTCCAAGTCCACTCCCTTATATGTTACAGAGGAGTAGAGGGCCCACACAGCTTAGAGAAGGAAGACAATCAAACAGTCTTTTTTTTTTTCTTTTTTTAAAAATAAAGAAAACAAATCATGGTAACTAAGCAAACACATTAGGTCTTTCTCGTACAAAAAAAAAAAAAATGGTACTAGCCCTTGAATAAGGCAACAAAATTTCTAGGGGAAGAAAAAAGACATTCAATTACATGCCCAGAGCGTGACCATAAGTAAATGATACATGTCCTTTACTACATCATGAATTTTAAACTCAAAGGATCAGGATAAATTTGGTGTGAAATTCAGCACTAAAAAGATCAGAGAGTTTGAGAATCGGTGGAAAATTCTTAAATTTTTTTCCCTTTAAGGGAACAGGACACAAAGGCAGGATCATAAGACTGAAGGTGGCTATAATAATACCCAAGGAAACTTTTGTAAAAATAAAGGATGTAAATTCTTTTCATTGAAAACTTTTCTCATTTTATCTTTGGAAAATAAAACACACGTGTCCAAATTTCTTCCTAAGAAAGTATGAACTAGACTGGAGAGATGGCGCAGTGGTCAGGAGCCCTGGCTGTTCTTTCAAAGAACCTGGGTTCAATTCCCAGCACTCACGTGGCCATCTGTAACTCCAATTCCAGTAGACCCAACACCCTCACATAGACATACATGCAGGCAAAATACCATCTAATTAAAAATAAGTAACTGTTAAAAAGCAGGAACTAAAATAAACCAGAGCCCTGTGCAGGTTTTCCTTACTCTGTCCTGGACACATCTAACCTCTTCCCTTGCCTCTGGGTGCATGAAAACGTGTATCTTTGTCTTGTCTCATGTGAAGGAAGAGTAAGGCGTTCCACTCACCGGGACTTGTGAGGGCTCCCAGGGCACTGCTTGTGGTAGAGAGAGGGTTTGCATTAGTGCTGGTGGCTGAGGTTTGAGCAGCAGCTGCAGCAGCAGCCAGTGTTGCCAGATTCTGTAATTGTAAAGCATTCATGCCTATAGAGGAAAAGAAAGGTGCTGTTAACCACAGGCACAAATTTCTAAATCGAAATTGAGTGTACACACACACACACACACACACACACACACACACACACACACACCATTTAATCCCTTGTTGCCTCAGGGCATGTGTGATGTATCTTGAACAGGAACTGGGTTATGTGTCTCAGAGGACACCTCCTTTGAGTTTTAGTGGTATCACTTTTCATTGCTAGAGATGGACTACTAAGAAGGGGTACTTGCACAGCAACCAGTACTGAGCAGATGCAGCTCAATGGGGACACTGTCTATCCTAACTTAGGGCTGTCTTCTCTCAATGCTATGAAGGTAATTATGTAAGTTAAGAGAGTATTCTGTATTAACTTGCCAGGGAAATGGAGACTGGCAACTTCTATCTATTACATAGCTGTCATGAAAATGGTGAGATGTGGTCATAAGCGGCTGCAGGACTATCGTGTAAACTCCACATTCCGTAACAGGTTCACAGATATTACAGAGGAATTATAGCTCATTGCTTAAAATTTCCTGCTCTGAATGTGACTGACACAGGTTCTAATCTTGGCTTCGTCATTTTTCCAGATATGTGGATATAGACAAATTACTCAGCTTCTTCATTTCTTGGTGGCCAGGCCAACTGGACCTGAATGCAGGGAGTTGTGCAAATAAATATGCAGAATGCAAATTATTCTAGCATGATCTAAGTATCCACTGAATGTTAGTGGTTACAGTTGTCACTGGCCCTGAATGTCTCCAGATTTATCTTATCATCTCCACAGTGGGAACTCAATACAGACGAACAGAAATTGGCAGTGCCTTAAATCACTTGAAGCGTATTTGCACTGATGCCAAGCCGGATGACCTGAGATCTATTCTCAAGGCCCCATGATGGAAGGAGAGAACGATCCTACAAGCTGTCCTTGATCTACACGTGTACGTGATAGACAGATAGACAGATGTAACACACACGCTAAACCTACAGCCAACATATTTTTTATTAGAATGAATTTATGATTAGTGAAAGTTAAGAAACAAAATGAAAATAAAAAATGCTAGAGTGTAGGATAGGCTGAGAGATCTTGGGCCAGGCTTGGAGATTGGGTTCCAGCCTGCTGCCTGTGCTGTTTATCATTAACATCCTTTCCCCCCTCACTCCTGATTTCTCAAGTCACAGGTTCTTCAAATACCTTAGGTATTTCCCCGTGACTCTCTTCACAGTAAGTAAAGGCAACAATGTATCTCTTCTTACATATAAGACTTAAATAGAAGATTCTATATATAAAGAGACTGGAGTCAAGTAATCAGCTTAATTTTAAATTCTCACAACTCAAATCCAAATACTCAATAACTATCTCTTCAACAGATTTGATCTGTTTAAGAAGAGCGGGCTGGTAATGGTCCATATGTGCTGGGGGGAAGGGAAGTAAGATTTTCTAGCAACATTCCTAAGCAGACTGGCAGCCACCAGTATATAGCTCACTGGCTGAGTGCATAACTAGGCCTGGCTGCTGAGCCCTAGAAATAGCACTGCTTCTGTGTGCTCCTTTGCTTTGCCTCCTGATTTGAAAAGTAGCTTTTAAGGGTTTTGCTATAAAATGAGTTCTCATTATGCCCCAAATCACATCCTCCCCTCCTTAAGGAGCCATTGGGCTTATTGGGTTGTGGTAAAAACCAAAACAGCCACCCACTTCTTTGGTGCCAATGCATAGAAGCACAATATGGAATGTGTGAAATCAGGTGATCAAATGTGTTTGTGAGTGAAGCTCTCTCTCTGTCTCTCTGGTCAAACAGTGGCATATTTATATTAGAAACACTGTGGGTATTATGAAGCACTGGGCTAATTTTTCAGTTTCACTTTAGCAAAGTGGTAGTACAAATATGGGAATTATTTATCTTTAGTGAATGCCCACTCAGACCAAATAAAGGCTGTACTTCTTTAAAGCTACATGAACATGCTTCATGCTGAAGTGTGATGAGAGCACCTGGCCTGTGAGTGATATTGCAAAGAGTGGGGCCTACTGCATAGATCCATTTGTCCCTTCTTGTGACTAATGGGCCCTCTAATGTTCTACTGATGTGAACCAGATGACCACACTACATCACCAACAGACAGCTGGGCATATAGGAAAAGGATTTATCACCTAAATGAAAACCTATACCATGCATTTGGTACCAATTATTAACAGACCATTATTACAGGCTCAGGTCCGAGGGACATTTTCCAGTACATCTATGACTCTCGGTAAGGGACAAGCACAGTATTGGAGCCAGTGTCAGAAGTCTGTATCAGCTGGCCTGGCTGGGTATGTCCAATGGGTTAGCAACATTAAGTCTTGTGTAAAGCCTTGAGAATACCTCTCTGAGGCCATGAGCACTGGACCCTGCCATACCTCACTGCTTCATTCTGACCACTACTCAGTTTGCATCTAACACAGCCTCTTTCTGTGTGTTATCTACAAACTGCTTTACTTATTTTGTATCCTACTTAGACACCATTTGTATATAATTCTTACTTTTATAACAAAATATTAAAGTTTTTGAAGATTCTATCTCACTCAAGCCTACCCAAACACACAGAGACACAGGCACAGATACACACATGCGCTCTCTCTCTCTCATGCACACACACACAAGGGTGGGTAGGGGGTGGGAGAATGAATACATGGTATGTCATAGACGTTATTAAAATTATGGGCTGTTCTTCAAAGTGCTGTCAAGAGTACTGTCTATACAGCTAATCATGTTTTTAGCTTTCCCCGTTCATAATTCTTTGGTACTTCTTATCAGTATCAAATGCTCACAGTTTTCTTCAATGATTAGCTAATTAAATGTATACTTGTTAGATACATTCTTTACCATATACACCTTACATACTGACATTCATTACAGGTCTTGGAGCCAAGGTGACAACAGTGAGGCTATCTTTCCACTGTTCTGTCCCTGTATGAACTAAGGGTGAGGGTATGTGACCTTCCTCATATCCCCTTCACGTGTGCACCGCCTGACAGAGTCTACGCCATCCTCTTCAACCTTTTCTTGTTGATAGCTAGAAAAGGCCAGGGAGAATGACAGGCTCTACAACACCACTCTGGGGGATGGCTAACAAGGTTTAAAGATCATTCTGCAAAGCAAAGACAACCTGCTGGCAAAGCTAGCCAAGCTGAGTAGCAGAGCATTGTAATCCTCAGCATCTGAGTGACTTGAGGAAAAAGGAAGGGGGCAGAGTCAGGCAGACTGTATTTACCTAATCTCTCCACCCCCTCATCCATAGAACTAAGCAGTACCTACTAGCCATGCTGGGACAGTCTCTGTGCAGGACACAGAGAATAAATGGACAACAAGGAAAACTGGTCCCAAAGAGCCTGCTGGGCACTAGAGTAGGGAGAAACCAGTGACCGAGAGAAGTCCTTTTAGCTCACTGGTTTTCGGAAACAAACCCTCAACCACATTATCACCAAAGCCTTTGATCTGATGGAGTCGAGAATTACTGCCTTTCCCTGTCATGGAAAGGCACATTCTATTCTAAAACATAAACATTCAGTATCATGGGGGCAATAGGGATAAGACAGCTTACCTGCTGATTTCCTAGGACTAGGCCCCCATGGTCCCTACATTCCTGGTTTCTCAGTGCAGCCCTGGCAAGAACATCCCATCTTTTACCCTTAACTTCTATTTCTAGTACCTGCGATGTACTAGATTTTGTGTTGGTAACAAATGCACCGTTTACTAGAGCAGTGTAGGCTTGGAGAAGAAGTGTGCAGGCTCTGCTCTGATAGGACCTGGATGTAAACTCAGCTGTCTCACTGTTTCTAACCCCAGCTATCTGGAGTAAACTGGATAACTGCTTGTTCCTTGGGATCCCAACTAGAGTAAAACTAAAATAGAATCTATTTTCTGAGAATCAGTATGTGTAAAGACCAAAAACGTGACCTTGGATAGAGCTTGGTTTAAATAGCAAGTTCTCTTAATTTCAACTAGCAAAATAGCAGTGTTATCTCAGGCAAAGATTGTGAGAGTGAGGACAAAGCAGCTGCCAGCATGCTTCTCAGTGCTTTGCGTGTGGTCTCAGTACTTGTAACAAAATATGGTGTATACACTACTACTGGTGGGTAGGTCACAGATAGAGGGGACTGAAGTATGAAGAGGTCAAAGGGGAAGAGTGTGGTACAGCATAAAAATTCAAAGGAAATATGGCAGGGGCACTAGAACTTCCCTGCCCCCATGTTTACCTACAGTGGTCTCCTTAACCTCCAACATAATCTAAGGCAACTAAAGCTGTCTGGTGAATCATTTGCATCCGTTATAACCCAGTGCAAGTCCTGCTTGGTAGCAATGCCAGGCTTTAGAGATACACTTCACAACATGTGCTCTCAGATGCTTATGATACCTGACATTCAGAGTAACCTTGTTTTATTAGTAGCAGAGAACCAGGTAACCAACAGTAACCATTTTATAACTTGTACTACATCATCTTTCTGAATCAGTTATTTTATTTCTTAATTTGATCTCTTTTTTTTTTTTTTTCACTCATCTTACCTTGTTTACTGCATGTCAGATACAACAGATCACCAATAAATCAGTGGCTGTAGTTGCCTCAGATGGATATCTGTGGTCCCCTTTTCAATACTAAATCTGCTACATACTCAGCTGGACATCCACTGATGGGGTTCAGTCGGTGTATGAACCCCCTAATGTTTATTTAAAAAGTGTTTTTGTTATGTGTGAACTTTTTCTGTGAAAGACCCCAGAAAATTGTATATATAACCTTAGACTTACCAAGATGACTGAAAACAACAAAAACAAACAAACAAAAAACAAAAGCAAAATAACTAACATCCTGGCAGAAAACAATTGAGTGAAATTTCAGTGATTATGTGATATGAGAAATCAAGAAGAAATTAGAGCCAAGGAGTGATAGAAAGAAAAAAAAAAGGAAAACGATCCTCTTATTCAGTATTAACACACACACACACACACACACACACACACACACACAC